TTTTTTTTTTTTTTTTTTTTTTTTTTTTTTTTTTTTTTTTTTTTTTTCATCTTTCGTTTTCATTTTCATACATATTTTCTATACACACAAAGTGTTGAGTTAGGTACGAAACAGAGATAAAGAACAACGTGTTGACGACACACGCCTACGTGAACAACAAAAAAAATAATCATAACAAAACAAACAAAATACAAATATTAACACTGGATCAAGTCGTTTATAATATATGTAAATAGCATAACAGACTCACTCTCCATATAATCAAGAATAATGATAATAATAAATCATCATCGTCGTCATCATCGTCACCGTAATGATTTTCCTTTTTTTTTTCTTTTTTCTTTTTTGCTTCTTCAAGTCGATGCAATATATAATATATTTATAAATATGTAATAATAATAATAATAATTATACTCTTTACCGTCGTCATGCATTCAGCCCTCGCTTAAATTTAATCTACACTTGCGGTGCCGAGCGTTGGAAGAAGTCCATTGTCACAACTGTATATATGTATACACTCATGTATTTATATCGTGTGTGGGCCCTTCTCGGTCCCCATGCAAATGTGCGGGGAGTTTTATACGCGCTTATCTCCCTTATCCCCGATGAGTCGTTCCTCCGACGCTCGGCCACGATAATAATACAATAACATCGTCGATATCGCGTGTTTCATAATTATTTACAAAATCAGAGAGTGTGTGTGTGTGTGTGTGTCTTTCAACTCTTTCTTCATTTTATTTTTCCTCGCGTTTTATCGTGAACTTTTTCCGTTCATCTAAAATCGTTTGAAAGAGCTTCATGGATCCCTGTATTCTTCCGAATTCGCTTTCATCGCACACGATCGATTTCTCCACTCTTTATCATACCTCGTGCATCATTTTTCGCTTCAGTAATCCTAAACAACATTTCCACGATTAATCAAACTCATACGTATCGCTCTATGTATATACTATATATATATATTTTTTTTTTTCTAATAATCACTCAAGAGCGACAAGGTATATCACATATATGCGTCTCCTTACAACGTAATGTTCAGAAAGAGTGAGAGACATGAAAGAAGGGAAAAAACAATATCATTACTGTTATCGTGGTCGTTACGTGCTTTTAACGCACCTGCCATTCTACCTATACACAAATACACACGCAACAGGCAGGCACTCAACCCTCGAGCGCAAGCTACAGCCAGTACGTCTTTTCGCATGTATACATATCTACGATCCCTCCAGAGTTATGAATGTGTTTTAGTTTTTTTTTTTTTTTTTTTTACATTACCCCAGTACACGAGAATTGCCACGAGTGTGCAATTATTCGCGGACGCGCACCAAGATTCTTATATGCAGACGTGCCCGTCGACCGAGACTCACGGGCGTCCCGCTACTGCCTCTTTTGGTCTTGTAATTAACTTGTTTAATTGCCACGCCGATTCGTTATTTTCGACCGCGTTGTGTAATTGATTTTAATTGAATGGGGACGCGATGCTTTCATCCATATTTCTTTTTCTCTCTCCCCCGTTTGCGTTTTGTTAATCGTATTAATTATCATTCGTGGAACGGAACTAGCTCCTGCTGGAAAAAAAAGGCAATCGTAGTACAAAAAAGTGCTTTTTATTTTTTAATTTCTTTTGATTTTTAGAGGTAGTCACGATCTTTTTATGTAGGCTCAATATCACGCGAGTTGGTAATTTTTCTTGTAAGAGACGCTACCTGTCTACCTGGCCATCGTTGCCCAGAAAAAAGCAGATGTGCACTTTCGAGGGTCCTGGAGAAAATAAAACGCAAACGAGACAAAATGATAGTTCAAACGAAGGGTGACGAATCGCCCGAGTTGGACAGCAAAAGGCTAAAAAAATATATGTAGTGGAGAATTAAAAAAAAAAAAGTGAAGCGATGGGAAGAGTAAAAGTCTTTCTCTCTTCCAGTCGTTAGCCAACATCGTTTAAATATCGCATGTCTCTCGAGCGAATTATCGTTATAATTATTATTCACATATGCACATAGTATATTCACGCGAAAATTAGCTCTGCGGCCGAGGGCTCACATCTGATTGCCTGTAGAGCAGACAACCATTTAATCAATAATTTCGGAAAAGAAAGGTTTGGGTGAATTTTGCTTCTTTGTTCGACGCACGTTATACTTATTGGTTCATTCGTTCATTCATTCGTATGATACACATGATTGCTGATTACTCGTCGAGTTTTTACAGTAATAGTGGCTTGCCACTAAAAAGTTTACACATAAAAAAAAACAAACGACGACAAAATTCGCGACATAAGTACTCTAAGCGTAGACAACATCGATACGAGCACAATTTTAATTTCTTTCGTCTAAGTTTGCTGGCCGAGAAAGGAGGATGAAAGCAAACGAACGAGACCGGGTTATTCGTGCACAGATCGGCGAGGATGCTAACTTGCATTACGAGCCAGTTTTTTGTTCGAAAGAGAGAGAAACAAAAAACCGAGTGTACGCGTCGATCGCCAAGGGAACACTTTGAGCATTAGCAGGCACCTTACGTCCTATATTCATGAATACGCAAAAAAAAATGTGGAGTCTACGTTTTCATTCATACGTTCGTCATGTACACAGCATAAATCGAGACATTCGATTTTGTTCGCTTTCATTTCAATTAATCTACTATATACAGTGATACATATTTAGTTTTATCCTCGGTATTTTTATCTATACGCGATAACACATCGACGATTCTCGATTTTTCAGACTTGAGGGAATATATGAGGAATCAAGGAGTCTGGGGGGTGATGAAAATGACCTTTCGAGGATGAGAGATGGGAACAATGGACAGAGCGATAGTGGAGGATAATGAAAGACTGGTAAGTACTCGAAAAATAATACGCAATTTACACGTATGAAATAGATAACGATTGAGAATGAAATAATTTTCTCTGAATCTTTTGTTTGTCACAACTAGTATACATTATTGAACTTTGCAAAGCATAAAAAAAAAAAAAAAAAAAAAAAAAAAAACTTGGAGAAAAGAATCCAAAGTATCTATGTACACACAGACTCTGTACAGCACGTCTCGCACGCGTAAGAAAACAATAATTTCTCACCAAGCAAATACACAGGATCGAGTCGCATCAAAGCGACGCGAAAAAATTCACAAACTCTTTATCTAACTTTTTAATGTACAATACACATTCGTCATTGATTTAACACAATATATAATATGTATATCCCTCGCAACTTTTCGCCTAATACGCTTAATCACTAGAGTTTCGGTTTCTATGTATAATAGTTATTATTTTTATAAGTAATCGTAATAATTATAATCGTAATCATGATGATGATAATAATAATAATAATATTAATATCCTCGCCCGCTGAGGTGGACTCTCAGCTCGCGTTTGCGCGCCCTTGACTGCAGCGTTTTTATTTGTATTGTTTTGCCCTTAGCACATGCATGTATATATACCTCGTCGTTTCCCATTCGCCCGAAGGTGAGACGATGGCAAACGCTGCCCAGCATACGCACTCAATATTATGCGCTGCAAGGGAGAAGGCATGTATGGCATCGCGTAATTTACGAGAGGGCGCACAAGAGAGTCTCTCCCTCGGAGGAGCGCGTCCAGTCTGTTATAAGTGTATCCCGGTGCTCATGGTTTTCAGCAAAATTTTCGTTTTACTTTATTTCCCACTCGCGGCGGTGCAGGCAGGCGTGCAGAAACTTTGGCTTCTATCCTTCTCCCCCCTCTCACCCGCTATCCTTCGCTTCCTCTATACATACCCATACTCTCTTGCTCCCTCTTTTTCTCCAGCGCCGATGGCTCCGAGCTGCAGTTTTCGAGGCTTTTTTTTTTCGATTCTCCCGAACGAGAGGCGTTGCACCACCTCTCCCCCCCCCCCCTTTTTTTCGAGATTGGCTCGCGAGTTAGCGCTTCTTCGTAATGGGCACGTTCGCCCCGCGCAGATCACACTCGATACGAGCTCAACGAGAGCGTACGCGCGTGTAATTTGCACGTGAATCTAAACAACGAATCCAGTCTGGCCGATTTTTCGCGAAAAAAGTGAAACAAAAGGAAGAAGCGTCTCGTGGAACCTCGAAATATAAAGGAGGAGGGATTCCTTTCGGGGGGTGTGTATAATCATTACCGGGCCGACTCGCGAAATCGCGGCGAGTCGATCGCTAGTGTATAGCCAAAAGCCACCGACGCGTGGAGAAAAAGAGCAAGTGGAGCGCACGACGTTAGAATAGTAGTAGAGAGGTGGGGTGGGGGGGAGGACAGAGAGTAGGGGTGTCGGTGAGAGTGGGCCCAAAAGTGGAGGGGCCCCCCTTAGAAGTTCTGCTCGCCGTACATGCCGGGAAACCGGACGGCGTGAGCTCCGAGCTCGGCGGACGAGAACTCCTCCTATGTGGCCAGATGGGCGAACTGGCTCGGGTGCGGGGCGAACTGGTAGGGATGACCGTAGGGCGACATGTGGTACGGCACGATGTTCATGCTGGCCATCTTGTGCTCCTTCTTCCACTTCATCCGCCGATTCTGGAACCAGATTTTGATCTGTCGCTCGCTGAGGCAGAGCGCGTGCGCTATCTCGATCCTGCGCCGCCTGGTCAGGTAGCGGTTGAAGTGGAACTCCTTCTCGAGCTCGAGGGTCTGGTACCTGGTGTACGAGGTCCGCTGGCGCTTCGTTTCCCCGTTCGCGTTCACCGTACCTGCAATATTCGAATCGTATAAACAACCAATCGGTACACGCATCCCTTTTGGGATACAGAAATCAATTTATTTTCTTTCTTTTTCAATTGAAATCCAATGGACCATCCTCTACTTTAATTACCCACCGTATAGAGCCTCTACTTGTATACGTGTTTTTATTTTCTCTTACAAATAAACGTACCGCGTTGCAGTCGGACGAATCGTTCGATCGATCATTCGGGCCGCATTCGATACCTCCGCGCTGTCCATTTTAATCGCACCACGGCCTATAACGTGCGCTCGTCTCTTGAGCCGTGCACTAGAGAGCAACGGCACGCGCTTCTCGCCCACTTTACCGGGGATACGAGATTAATGATTTTTCGAGTTGCAAACTTCCAACCAAATGCAATCAAGAGGCTAATATTACGCGATACAGAGCATTACCATTCCACACAGTAATATTATTTTTAACAGTTAAGATTATCGTTACAACAGTAAAAATTTCTACGCTGGAACAGTAAACCTTAAAAAAGATCGGTTGATAAATTGTATTTTCCAGCATAGGAATTTTTCACTGCTCTAACCATAATTTTTACTGTTAAAACAATAACAACAATCTTTACCGTTGAAAATAATAATTTTTTTTTTTTCGCCGGGATAATAACTTTTGATGGAGTTTCTCCAAAATTTTTATTATTTTTTTTTCTCTCGGTGTAGAAACTTGTAAATGGTAACTGCAGATATAGGTTTGGTAATCAACGGCTGCGTCGATCCTGCACCGAATGGCGCAGTCGGGCACAGTGAAATCTTGTGGGAGTTGTAGTTTCCTAAGCCTACATTGTCGGTCTGCCAAGTGCGATATGTTTGTTTTTTCATCACGCGTTGGTGGACGGCAAAGGTCCGAAGAGGAAGAACGAGCTCATTTATTATTTCAACGAGTCGTGTCTAATGTCACGCGGGCGGTCGTCATCCCGGAGAGGTGGAAGGGGGGTATCGAGTTGTTCGCCCAATGGGTACATACCTATGATATTATTACCAATGGTACTCGACACACCGACATTGGAGCATAAGTACCGTTAAGGGCCATTCGCGTGTCGGTGTGCCATACTAAGGTTGGGGGCCGTAAATAATTTCGCGCGACGCTATTATTACGACGACTTTGGTGTGCTTAGTAGAGATCTGGGGAGCATCGGAGGACGGCACTCGCGGTTTTATTTACGAGGGAGGATGGCACAAAGTGGCCACGTTCTCGCAACGGGTACCGACGCGTGACGCTTCTCTCGGTAGGCGCGTGCAGGTGTACGCGCGCTGATCTCTAATTAATTCCGAGGCGCGATTCCCCCATTGAGTTGTGCTCTTTTGGGACGATAAATTTTGGAGGAAGGTGCAAGTATAGGACGGATTTTTCGACGGAAACGCGTCGTTTCAGCGCCGATTTATCGGCCCCCGACTCGCGTATTATTGGATGACGGGGACGATTCTATCGAGCCTTTCTTCGAAAGCTGGTTACTACCTAGCGCTATGTGTGTGTTTGTGTGTCTGCGTCGGTGTGAGTCGGGCTTGCACGCACTGTTTCGCGTTTATTATGCGCATCTCAATTCCAACGCAAATTGCCGGTTTAACCTCGTTGACTCGTTCAAAAGTGTTATTTTGCGCGCGCGAGCGGACCACGACGTGGCCCGGCTGAGACGTAATGCGTCGGTTTGCCTTTGAGACGGGACTACGGGATGAAGAAGAGCTGTCATATTTTTCTTTTTTTTTTTTTTTTTTCACCTACGGTCAATATTATTTTCATTTGCTTATTTATTCGTAAAATGTCGCGGTTGTAATACATAACGATGTCGGATGACACATTCTTTTGTCATGCATATATTTGTACGAAAATCTTTATTAAAAAATAATAAAATAATAATAAATAATTTAAAAAAAAATTAATCGTCCCCAAATTACGTGGCACTGCGTGAGTTTCTGAAAAACGTGCTATGACGTTCAAAGTGACCGAGGATTAATAACTTCCTTTTGCCTGATTTGCACGCAACTATTACGATGGAAAAACTTCAGATGTACGGTAATTATTCAGCGATGCAAATACCTGTACATGTACTAGCTACATGTAACGTGAAAGTCCATCGATGGTGCAAAAATTTGTAGAAAAAATCCCCATGTAATTTTTTCAATAAAAATCGCTTTACCAGTTATTATAATGGTCGATCGGTCGTGCTATTAGGTAAAATAATCATACACTAGACGAAAAATAGATAAATTCTCCCAGGCGAGTCGAACATGCTCTACCGCTTGAAATTAATAAACTGGTGTTGCGTCTACGACCGCATAATTGAACTTCTCAATGATTGGCCAAGGTAAGCTTGCATCTCACAGTCAACCATATTAAAGCTCTCCGCTCGGAATGGCATAAAATTGTGAAAAAGAAAAAAAGTAACCATTTCCATCCCACAACACCATACATGTATACGACTCGTCGCGAAACAATGGCACTAGGGTGCGAGAAAAAAAAATGTAGAACCGAAGCAGCCGATAAAAAACAAATAATAATGACGAATGCGAACGTATACACGCATATGTAGATAAAGTTCGGCCTCCCGCATTGAGTCCGAGGGCCGTGCGTATATATATACACACACACACACGTGTGGGTGCGCTCGAGGTAAAGAAGAAGAGGAGCGGGTGTGCGCGCGGATATTAAAGAGGCGGCTCATTTACGGCAATAATGAATGCACTATTAATAGCCGGAGCGCAAAGCGAGGCTTGGACTCGTGTGTATAATATATAAAATACTCTCTCGCGCACGCGCTCGTGTATATATATAGTTGAGAGCGAGGAAGGGAAGAGCACCGAGATGTAATAATGTATAAACTGTATAGCACGTACGTGTATGTATATGCATCAAGAAAGGCTGGAAAGATGGTACAGGGGAAGCGGCTCGAAGGAGAGATAAAGGGGGAGGAGATCGCGAGAGCTGAAAAAATGAAGAGCACGAGTGGAGAAGGAGGTGGAGGAGAGGCTGTACCAGCTCGTGGTGCAGAAAACAGGATGCTGGCGAATTTGGACGCTGTCTTTTTTTTCTTATCGGTACTGAATTGCTGTTGCTATTAGCTTGGGGTGAATGGTGTGTTTGTTGGGGATTTTTTTTTTTTATTCTTTATTTTACAAATGGTGGAAAATTGCAAGACAGGATCGAGGAAGTCGCCGATCAAACCGTGCTTTTTCAATGATTGGGGGAAATTAAATGCCGAGGAAGCTATCGCAATCCCTCGTTCGAAATTGTATTGGTCATTTGGCTCAATGATCAGCTTCGATATACCTGATTTTTTTAAGAAAACAAAAAACTGGAGCATCAAAGGATACGTTAAAAGTTGACTTGAGAGAGACGAAAAATACATATAGGAAGAGGAGGAACGAGCACATCCCACAACGGCGTAACAAAAGACAGCAGAAGCATACCATACGAGGTGGCACGTGTGCGTTTTGCCGAGAATCGCAGCTTAATGACCGGAGAGAAGTGCTTCCCCCCGCGTTATCGCTTTCCTCCCGACGTGGCACGCCGCAAGGGAGTTCTTTTTAATAAATAGCTCCCGCCTGTCCGAACCGCGGAAGATTTGCCGAATGCGCGGGAATTCGTTGCCAGGGTATCCATTCTCTCTGATGCAGTGGTGTATGACCATTTTTCCCGCGAGTCAGCTTTTAATTTTGCTCTTTAAAAAGCTCACCCTGACACGTCTATCGTGTGTTTCTATGCCAACGCGGGTGCAGCTTGAATTTTTGAAAAATAAAGGAAGAGGTGGAGGGCTGTACCCGAGAAAATTACGCGGGATGTACACATCCAATTATTTGGGGGTAAGGGGGTCTTTCCGGAGAGTCGTCGGCCCCCCCTTCAGACGATTCACGATCCTAAAGTGATTGATTGCCTGCAAAGTCCCGCGTATGGTAGGAGGCATCGGAGAATGCATCCTGGCATGAAAAAGGCCCGGGTTCTCGCCGTACAATCGATTATTTTCCTTTTCTCCTGTTATCCTCGCCTTATCGACCACTTATCACGCGCGTCATTAATAACGTTTCACCGGTTGTTTCTCTTTTGTTTCGTTTTTCGGCTCGAAATGCCTTTTGGTAGTCTCTTCTTTGAGTCTATATGGGATTTTTGTGATTTCACATACAAATGTAAATTATAGTTTCGAGTGTCAAAATTACCATTACCTTTTGGCAAAAAATCATCGTACTCAATTTGACATTAGAACAAAATTTCTCATTAATGAACCTTTTTGATATTTAATACTCAACTCGAGATGCGAATGTATTATAATAAAAAAATGTGAAAAGCTTAGGTTGGACGAGCCAAATTTTTCCAAAAATTATAAATAGACAGTGCCACATCCGCGCACATTCCCAAGCAATTCAATACAAGTCAGTGTCACACCGCAGGCATCAACAGAATCCATAGAAATAACAAAATCGCTCGAAATGCGCGAGCATAGCCGGCATGACTCGCCAGCGAGCTTTTTCGAATGTATACGAATAGAGGCACTTGGCTCGCGACGCTCGGCGAGAGGGCAAAGAGATAAAACAGACAGACACGGGCAGACAGACGGCGAGCGAGAGAACCGCGGTGCTCGACACTTCATTTTTAATGCGCAAAACAAGGATGATCCAGCCGCGAATTTGGCGCGACGATCGGATTCCCGTCTAAGAATTTTCAGCGCGTCCGACGAAAGCCGAGCTCTCCTCTTTGGGATGATAAATGAAGTGCGCGACGCGCGTCGTCGGCCGCCACTTTGCGAGCTCCTGCTCTTTTTCCCTCTCCCTCTCTCTCTCTCTCTCTCTCTCTTTTGATCGTGACGAATGCTCAGCGTTATCCTGCCTCGTACGCGCTTTTGTGTGTACGTGAATGGGCACGGATCTCAGAGCTGGTTATTAAAATCGTGTGCCCGATACGAGTAGCGGAAGCCGTCTCAAAATGAAATCAACACCCACTCCTCCAACGAATCCCTTTGTTTTGTTTTTGCAA